TACAATTCCGTCATTTGATTTTCAGGGATGAAGCTGATTTCCTTGGAGACCGAATTGCTATTATGGCAGATGGACAGTTGAGATGCTGCGGCAGTTCTTTGTTCCTTAAGAGCAGGTAATTTCTCATCAACCCCAGACATACATGTACTACTCTTAAACATTGTCTTATAGTCAACTAAGACCCCAGCGAGACAGCACACTGGTCTTCTGTACATTTTCATTCTTGCCTTCAAGGACGTAGCAATTCAGAACAGTTTTCACTGGATAGATCGGTTTTCAATTGAGTGACGAAAGCAATCAGGCAATTACATTGGTTATGGCTTTAAGTAATTAGTCTTGGTTTTATGACACCCTATTGAAAACTGCTCTATAAAACGACTTCTCCAATCGCCATGGTGGTTTGCTTACAATCGAGTACAACGTAAGTTCGCTGTTACTGTTATCCTGTAGTAGCTGTAATTGATAAGCAAAGAGAAAAGATGCCTACAGTGATCGCTGATTGCTATTTGTTTATTCTTGTGGTGTAATTTTAAAGGAATTTATCAATAAATTGCTAAGAAACCTTAATACATGTATATTAATATGATTGTATTCCCCATGTTAGGTATGGTGTTGGGTACCACTTGACGCTGGTGAAGAAGGAAAATTGCAATCAGAATGCAGTTACAAGTTTGATCGTGAATCATGTCCCCGATGCGCAGTTACTCAGCAGTGTTGGTGCTGAAATGGAGTTTGTTTTAAGCAGTGAACATTCTCATGGCTTTGAAATACTTTTCCAAGAAATAGAGAGTAAGTTCAAAGAACAGCAGGTAGAATGAGTAACTGGAAAATAAGTCGACCTCTCTACACTGTCTCCCTGAAGAAGAGAGCTAAGAGGCCACTTGAAAGAGGTGGCTTTCGTCCGGAGGTTTGACATGAATGATTAAAGAGGTCGCTGTGAGGTGGAATGAAATTCAACCCTGCTCATTATATATAGATAGGTGGCCATTAAACAGAGGTGACTGTAGCACACCGTTGACTGAAGGCGTTATTTTGGCCAGTTGAAGGATCTACATCTGCAATTCCTAAGGAAACATCTCATTATTAACGTTTCCTTCCATTAGTAAATATTTCCAAGAGTGCTAAGTTTAGACTTGACGAAGGAAAAGTTGTTTCCTTTAAGGTTGAACAAGTACAAACGACTTTATCCGCTAAA